TGGGCACGATCGCATTCGATGGTGATGCCACCGCTCTTATACTTAGCCATGAGGAGTCCTTGCAGGTAGCGACAGTCCTCCGTCGCGTGGGCCTTGCTTTTATGATACTCGCAATACACCGGCCCTGTAGTAATGGCATCGGAATCTCTTGCCCATTTGTTCCATTGTTTGGGTGCCGTGCCTTCACTATTTATGACGAACGTGGCCGGCTTTCTACCTTGGCTCGTATTGCGGTCGAGATGCTGTCTTGGCTCCGCAGGTTTTGCCACAGGAGCTTCTTTCGGCGCCGATGCCTTTGTCACTCCGTGTTTTCGTGACAGAATGAGCCACTCCTCCTCTAATTCGATGTACCTCGTTGCTCTATGAAGTGCGTCCTCGAGCGTGTTCGGGACATAGAGCGTGATATTGTCCCTAAACTTAGAGTCGTACCACACTGCGTTGCGCAAAGCTACGATTGCGGCTTCGTCTGGGACGACGATCCGGGTAATGACGTCCTTGAAACGGTCGATAAATAATCGGAGGGACTCCGTGGGTCCTTGCGCAAGGGACCATAGGTCGGCATTGGTCGTCTGGTTTTGTATGAGCGGCGAATAATGTTTGAGAAACGTTACGGACAGTTCACGATAACTGCTGATTGAGTTCGGCTTAAGTCTTGAGAACCAGTTGAGGGCGGCACCGGTTAGATGCTCGGTGAAAATCTGGCATTGTCCTGCTTCGAAGTTCTCGTCGGTTAGTTCGGCTCGGTTGATCGCGATGCCGAATGATGTTAGGAATTCTTTTGGATCGCCCTTTCCGTTATAGGGCTCGAGCTTTATCTTTTGGCGCCCTCGGAGTGAGATGCTAGTTATTCTTCGAGTGAAAGGAGTTTGCTGTGTTTCTTCAAGGACGCGGTCGAGTTCCGGTGCGGCGCTCGTGGCCTTATGAACCTTTGTGTTCATATCTTGGACAATGCGTCGTAGTTCGGCGAGCTCTAGGTCTCGGGTATTTTCGCTCGACGAAGTGACAGGATGGATTTGCCGGGTCGGCACTTGGTTTCCTTGAGCGGGTCGCACACCTTGCGTCTGACTTGCGTTTAGGTGATTGATTTCATCCTGAGCGCAAGCCTGGGCTGCTGCCAGAGATTCGAGTCGCACGTTCGTCCTGGCCTCTTGCTGGCTCAGGTGCGTGAGGATGTTTTGAAGCAGGTCGTCCAGTTCGCTGCGGTCCTGACTCCTTTGGTTCGTCCCGGCTCTGGTGTTAACCTGTGGGTTCGTCGTGTTACGTCCGTTCGAGGGAGTTATCTGAGCATCAGGACGTGGTGCAGGGTGCGGTCCGGTAGCTGCCGCGATAGGTCCTTCCGGCGTCGGGGGTAGCGAAGGCGGTGCGGCTGCGGGCGTGCATGCTTCTTCTCCCGAGCTGGAGGCACTTGTGCCGAGTGCGTTGTGGAATGCGTCCGTCATCTTTGTTGTTTCGTCGGTTCGTAGTTTTGAGAGAAATCTTCGAGCTTCTCTCCTACCTGGCGCGCCAACTGTTGATCCTCAAAATCACACAAGTACGTATTCGGAGTCTTAAGGGTGAAAGAAGAATCTCTTATTTTAAAGAACGAGCCGACAATTACAAAAATAGACGAGCTAAAAACTTAGAGTACGAGCCGAGCCGCAAAGTGCTCTGACGGTTGTATGATATTCTCTGTAAAAGCGGTTATTTCGGGATCCCTGTACAATCATTCTTTTTTGCCATTTATAGGGTGTGGAAGTAGGGTACACTGTTCGTGCGAAATATCCTTTCTGCCCTTTGGTCGGTGGAAAATTGGGTCTGGGCTTTCCTTTGGCTTCTGCTAAGCCACAGGGGAGCGTGGACCCGTTGAAGGGTTTAGGCCCGTTAAGGGGTTTGGGCCCGAGCCCAAAACCCACCATCAATAGTAATTTAGAGGAAATTTATAAAATAAGCTTATCTTTCTACATATGGCCTGATGCATAATAAACTAATTCTTCTAGCTGCATCAGTCAAGATTCACTATGTATAAGCCTTTTTCTCACAATGTCGATAATTCATCAAAACAGTAGAAGAAAGAGCGCACACGAATTCGAAAGGCATAGGGACTGTAAATAGAGCATCAATTGCCACTTGACCTTTCTCCAAAACTCATGCGTGTTGCATATTTCAAGCAGAGTCACCAGACTCACCACACACCAATGCTGATAGCCACTAGAAGGTAAGTACTTGCCCCACAAAACCGCCAATCTAACATAATTATAATCGACAAACTTAGAGAGCCCTTTCAAACTCTTCAAAGGTTAACCAATATATTATCCTAGAGTGTACCATTTAACTCCAACTAGATTACTATAACAATATAGTACATTATCTATCACGCAATCAGAAACTAAGCCATGCCCATATCCAATATATTTGAATAAAACTTTGTTAGATCGAAGCTTTGATAAAAAAAAACAATATTCATTAGTTTATAAGATTGCAAGCAACAAGCAAGTGAAGGCATTGTAAATCAAGGGAATAGAACAAAAAGTTTTGGTTCGACCAAACTCTCTTAATAATGCATCTTGTTTTTGTTTTTTGTCAGCAAAATGCATCTTGTTATATACTTCATCTTCGGTTCTTCCTATGAATTGTGAGGAGAACTCTCAAAGCAATCATCTTTAGTATGTTTAGTACAAAAAAGCATGTGAACCCAAATTTTATTGTTTAAAAGTTGATAGGGACAGACGCTAACTATCCAACCAATATTTTTAAGTGAAAAATCTGATGACCTTTTTTAAAATTTAATAATTTTGAATAGTTCTGAGAAACTGAGAATCATAATTATAAGTTATAACCCAACCAAAAAAATGTATAAGTTATAGTGGATTTGATTTATCTCTTGTTCTCTTTAGTACCAAACACAGCCCTTGTTCAAGTCCAATACGAATCCCCGAAGAGAGGTAAGTTTCTAGTTCGAACACTTTAAACATAAACAAGAAATTCTCTAGGAAATTAAATTGACCTTATACTTTCAATATTCAAGTTTTTTAGGCCAACGGCTTTGCAAGATTGGTTTAGTTTAAAAGTTTTAGGTTAAATAAAAAGAAAAGATAAAGCTTATGTATCTAGATCTAAATGTCTATCTATGTCTCTCTCTCATGATGAATTTCGGACAAAAAATGTAATAAATATCGAAATAAAGTAATTAGGATTTGGATTAGTTCAGTTTACACGATTTTAATTTGGATTGAATAGGTTCGATCAAACTGGTCATGTTTATATTTGTTATCATACAAACACATGGATATTCCATCTATTATTGAAAAGGAAAAACAACTTGATGAAAACAACATCAAATAGTCAAATTTGCGAAATGAAATAATTAAAAAAAGCAACTAAACATATATGAGAAATGAAGTTCCAAAGATCCGCTCCATCAACTAAGCAATCATGAGTAGCTGGAAATTAAATCTAGAGTTATAGGCATCCGACCAAAATCCTATAATATCTCCTGTCTTGTAATTTTTTCGTTGGAGAACCATACTCCATCCATGAAATTGGAAATTTCCATCTGCATCTTCTTTTACGGTAAGAGTTGTTACAACTTCAGTATCAAAATCAAAAAAGTCCAAATAACCTATGAAATTATCAGGCAGGAAAGGTAACATTTTGTTTTCTACTATTTCTTTTGGAAACGTTATCATATTACTCAAACCTATGTCTGATGGTGTTAACGTTATCAGGATGTTCCAAGGGCTGTCCGCATCAAACGGCTTATCTGGATACAGCTCGGTATCTACCATGAGTTAGAACACAAAGATATATGGATATCGGTTTTTAAGTATTCTTTACTTCTTAGAGATCTAGGTAATATTTGTGTTAATATTTGTTGTTTATGTGTTAAGCATATCTATTATTTATATATAATGACAATAAGTTGTGTCGAGTGGGTAATTGTAATTAAGATCTTGTCACTATATATATAAAAAAAAAGATTTCTTTAATGATTTTCATTGGATTCACTATTAATTGAATTTGATTTTTTTTTTCTTTTTTTCTTTTCTTTTCTTTTTTGACAGAAATTGAACTTGATTTCTCATTACCAAAGTAACACTAATTTTGTCTAATTTTCATAATAATATGACATATATAGATTTATAGTTAACTGAATTCTAACACTTGCTAAAGTAAACTAAAATTTCGACATACATTGCCAGTAAAAATACAAATCGCTTGAGGGATAGTACGAGCCTGCGGCCCAAGAACCTCCCAATTATAAGAAAATGAAAATACTAATAAAGTGAACCCTCAAACTATTAATTAAGAGAAATACCTTATAATAGCACTAAAAAAAAATTTTATAGACAATTATATCTCACACTCCACAAATTTTCAAAATTAGCATTAATGAATCTGCACATAAATATTTTACCCTTATCCAATTATGTAAAATAATAAAACTATTTCTAATTTGAAATTAATATTATAATATGATCGCGTGAAACGTCAATCAAATACTTATATTAGTCATTGAGCTATTTTTGGAACTTTGGAGATTCTGTGCTAAATTTGGTAACAATTTTTATGAAATTTATGAGAATTTCCCAACTATTAATAACTTCAAAAAATATTTCACTTATAAATATTTGTTTGTTCCATTTGTGATTTCTTTCTGAAACTTATTGATGCATGAAATAGTGAGTAAGATCGACTTAGATCAAGAACAACGATTGTATAACCTTGATGCCATTGGAATTATAGGAACTAGAACATCACATGTCATACTAGTTAAATTACCGTAAATTTATTTTTAAAAAATTCCACCATTAAAATTGGTGAATTTATAAAATTTCAACTGTTTTCCACCTATAAAATCAATATAAACTTCGTTTTTCAAAATTGTGTATTTTTCTTATGGTTTGCAATCAAAATATCATCTTTAGATTTGAATGTATAAACAAAACATTTGGAGAAAACTCTTTTATTAATTACTCAAATAAATTATCTTACAAAGCCAAATAGATATATTTATAACGATATATAAGAGAAAAACATGTTCTGTAGAAATAGGAATTAAACCAACATAATAAAACAACAACTAATTAACTAGACTCGATCAAACAAACCCGGTATACATATTCGAGAAATGAAGTTGTGACGATCCGCTCCATCAACTAAGCAACCTGTTTGAAATTAAGTCTAGTATGACGAAGATCCCACCAAAATGCAATAGTATCGCCTGCTTTGTAATGTTTTCGTAGGAGAATATCATTCCATCCATGAAATTTAAAATTATTTCCATCTTTTTTTATGATAACAAATGTTGTAATTTTACTATCAATATCATAAATTCCAATCATCTTTGGCTTGTTGGGAACTTGTAACAGTTCGACGAGAGTACTTATCTCCATGAAAGGAAATAAATTGGTTTCTAGTAACGCTTTTGGCATCATGATCGTAGTACTCATATCGACGTCAAATGGTGACAACGTTATCATGATGTTATGTGGGTTGTTTGCCTCATACGGCTTATCTGGAAAAATCGCCATGAGCTAGAACACAAAGAAATATGTAAACCGGTTTTTAATGTTTCTTACTCCGTAAAGATTTATGTAAGGTTGTTTTTGTATGACAAAATTTTGTCTGTGTGTTAAGGATATATATAATGACAATATGTTTTAGTTATGCGTGGTTAATTGTAATTAAGTGACTCTATACATTACTATATTTCTATGAGTATCATTAGATTCATTATTAACTGAACATGCTTTCTCTTTCAACAAAATTAATAGTAAGGTTTTAATATTTCATAATATTCTGAAAATATGGATTTATAAATAACTTGATTGGATTTATATATATAATTTTTCATTTAAGCCAAAATTTATATGGCACTAACATTTTAGCCAAAATTTATTTTTTCATACAGTACATCTAAAACATTAACATGTGATGTTCTAATTCCAAGAAAGCAATGGCATCAAGGTTATACAATCAACTAATATAAACTTTAGTTTTCCTGTAATAGTATATTTATCTTATGATTTGAAATCAAACGTCATCTTTAAATTTAAATGTCGAAACATATATAATATTTGGAGAAAACTTTTCTCTCGACTCTTTTATTAATCAATAATGGGGTTTTTGCAAAAATGCCATTTTTTCAATGTCACTTTTCAAAAATACCCCTTTTTAAAAACCTTATAAAAATGCTCTTAAAAATATAAGATTTACCCAAATATGTATGTAATATTATTAAAACATACACAAACTACATTTCTATGTATCTAAAATCTTATAAATACTTTATAAATACCTTATAAATGCATTTTAAATACTTTTAAAAACCTTTTTATATATAGTAAAATCTTTGAAAAACCTTAAAAATCCTTTAAAATAACTTGTAAAACCTTTAAAACACCTTATAAAACCTTATAAATACTTGGATCGAGCCTTCAAGTAGTAGTTACAATTCATAAGTACTTTATAAACCTAATCAAACTTTATAAAAATTTCAGATTTAAAAAGAGGCATTTTTGAAAATGGACATCTAAAAAGGGTATTTTTGAAAAGGGGCACACCAAAAGGGGTATTTTTAACAATTTCCCATCAATAATATATATTATCTTACAAAAACAAATTGATCTATTTATAACTATAAAAGAAAAACATAAACTCTAGAAATAGGATCTAAACCAACATAACCGGACTCAGATCAAACCCGGTATACATATGAAGTTGTGAAGACCTACTCCATCAACTAAGCAACATGTTTGAAATTAAGTCTAGTGTGATGGAGATCCCACCAAAATGCAAGAGTATCGCCTGCCCTGTAATGTTTTCGTTCGAGAATATTATTCCACCCACGAAATTTGAAATTATTTCCATCTTCTTTCATGGTAAGAAATGTTGTAATTTTAGTATCAATGTCAAAAACTTCAATCTTGTTACGAACTTGTAACAATTCGACGAGAAAACTTATATCAAAGAAAGGAAATAAGTTGGCTTCTAGTAACGTTTTTGGCACCAATAACGTAGTACTCAAATCTATGTCAAATGGTGACAACGTTATCATGATGTTAAATGGGTTTTCTACCTCGTACGGCTGATCTTCAAAATACCTATTATCTGCCATTAGTTAGAACACAAAATATGTATGAAAATCTTTATTTAATGTTCCTTACTCTGTAAAGATTTATGTTAGGTTATTACCACAAAAAAAAAAAGATATATGTTAGGGTTTGTATTAAGGACTTGTTATATATACTAGATTTTAACCCGCGGTACACCGCGGGGCTATATTTTCTTAAAAAAATCAAAATGTAATTTGTTTGATAGATTATTTTGATTGTTAATTTTAGGATTTCACCCGTGGTATACTATCTTTTATAAATATCAACCCAAACCCGTCCCATCATATTACCCGTCCCGTGAAATTAAACATCATTTAGTTATTTTCTTAAAAAAAATCAAAATGTAATTTGTTTGATAGATTATTTTGATTGTTAATTTTAGGATTTCACCCGTGGTATACTATCTTTTATAAATATCAACCCAAACCCGTCCCATCATATTACCCGTCCCGTGAAATTAAACATCATTTAGTTATTTTTCTTTTTAATAATACTTTTATTTAAAAGCTATATAATTCAAGTCAATTTAAAAATTTCTTTTAAATGGTTCCCATAAGGTATATATACATATATATTAAATTTGTATAGAGTTGAAATAATATTAATATTACAAACTTTTTATATAATTTAAATATTATAAATATTTTTAAAAATATGCAATATATATTTTTTGTTATTGAATAAGAGGATATTATGTGTAAGAAATGTAGAAAATAAGAGTTTAATATTTTTATTATAGAGTCGCAAGAAAAATCTTTTATTTCTATACATGTTATTCGTTTATTAATAATAAAAGAAAACAAATCCTTTAAATTAGATATTAACTAAAATAACCGCACCATAATTACTTATTAAGTAACAACCAATAAATTTCACCAAAAAATAGGTAACAACCAATAAATTCTAAACGCAGTAATTAAAGAATGAGATATTAAAAAAAAATATCAAATAAGATATAAGAATCTTAAAATAATTGAATATCTAAATAATTTAATTGTTAGTGTCGATTTTAATGCCTTCATTAATGTGGATTTTTTTTTTTACAGAAAAATATTTCCTAAAGATTATCACATTAATGATTCAGAAAATTAAGGAAGATATGAATTTATGATTCTCGAAATCGTGTTGGTAATATCTTTAATTAATATTTTTCAAATTTAAATAATTAATGCCAATTGCATTCATCCGTAAATACATTCCAACTCCAGGATTTATTTGCTAAAAGTCATCCAAAAATGTATATATAGATATAACGATAATAAGTTGTAGTTTTAATTAAGAGCTTGTGATTATAAACAGATACGATTTTCTTTCATAAATATCATTAGATTAACAATTAAATGATTAATTGAATATGTTTTGTCTTAACTAAATAACACTAATTTTGGTTAATACATAGTTTGATGTTATCATGACATATATAGATTTATGGTTATTGAATTCTAACACGTGTTAAAGTAAACTAAAATTAGACATATGATTATTTGACATTAGAAAAAAAAAAGCTAACTTGGTTTCTTTCGAAATATATATATCACTTTTAATAAAAATTATATGTCTCAATTTTAATTTCTATTAGACATTTTTTGGTGCATGTACTTGTAAGCTTGCTAATTTAAACTCTGTAAGATACTGTAAGACTTGTTGCTAAATATAACCCATTTTTTTAGGCAAAATATTACTTTATATTAATTAGATGATCACATGTGTTAAATTAATTATATTTTTGGTACATATTGATCACCACAAAATGAAAAATTATATAATAACTCAAACTATTAATTAATTAATTAATTTTCATCGAAAATATCTCATGTCATCATTGTTGATATATATTTTCATAATTTTCAGATGTGTTAATATATAAGTTAACTTTAGACACTAGTTAATTAACCATAAAATAGAATTTCATAGCTGGATTTGATCCTTTGCCTTCTCTGCATTCCCCCGATGTACAAGTACTACATTCACACAGAAGACAATTCAGCCAAACAAATTGCAAAGTCATATGTTGTTAAGCTTTTTGTTGGAACCATCTGTAGGTTCCGACTTCCGTGACCGTGTTTTCTACAAGACATTGTAAATAACTCGTATTTGGAAAACACTTTCTTGATGTTTTGTCGGGCTCAGCAACGAGATTGGAACCCGAAGGTAAAATAGTTTTTATAGGAGTTCTTCCATATACGTTAAGATTGAGAAGCCAAAAACCCAATGAAGGAGAACAAAGTGGTGAAGATTTTATAAAATTTTGTTTTGTTCATTTTTGTTTTGTGCATTAGTTTGCTAAAAGTATTAGGTCTTTGCAACTTCTATTAAATCAGAGTAAAATTTGCATGATAGTTGTTACTAGGACTGGGCAAAATAACCGAACAATAAGAACCGAAGCAAAAAGAACCGAACCGAACCGAAATTTTAAGATACTTAAATGGATCCTAAATTTTAGAACCGAAAGAACCGGAACTGGAACCGAACCGAACCGAAATATTTCGGGTACCCAAAAATATCCGAAATATGAGTTTATTTTAGATTGAATAACCAAAAATATCCGAAATACCAACAAATATTTGGAAAATATATTAAAAATACTTAAAATATCCAAAAAAATTCTCAAAAATATCCGAAAATACCCAAAAATATCCAAAATACCTAAAAATATCCGAAAGAAAATATCCGAATGGATCCTAAACTTCAGAACCGAAAGAACCGGAACCGAACCAAATTATTTGGTTCTTATATGGATCCTAAACTCTAGAACCGAAAGAACCGGAACCGAACGGATACCCGAACGCCCAGGCCTAGTTGTTACGTACATTCGATTATGGAAAAAAAAAAAAAAGTTGTTACATTCGAGAACCAAATCGGCCCGGTTTAAACAGTTCTGAAAACAAGAAACGAGAAAAGATTCTTATGATTGGTATTTCACATGAGATCATGAAACAGCTAAACGATCAAGTTCTGAAGAAAGCAGAGTCTCATTCTCTCAAAACAAGAAAATACTTTAGAGAACCAGCGTTTTTCTGTAACTTTGCGATCTTCTTGAGAATATGGGCAAATGTATCCTTTTCCTCTCTGGTTGTAAGTCTTTCCTTAAACCTCATAACAAGTTCCAGTGTAGTTAATTGTTTTGTCTCCATTAAAACACTGCGGAGTTCGTCTTCAGTCACATGTTCCATCTTGCGTGGTTGACGGTTAGAACAGGATTCGCAACTTAAAAAAGAAAAATAAAAGAGAAAAAAGAATAAGATAAATAGAATGGTTCGTACTATTGGGCTTTTATGGTTAAGAATTTTTCGTTCTCTTTAAATCATTATTATCTGTTTAAGAATGTTTATTTTAGTCTAATAGGTAAATGATTGGAATTGAATTAAAAAGTCGGACGGAATATCAGTATTTCCCGTTTATATAGTTTTTACAAAATTCATAAAAATTATCCAATATTTTGTGATAATAAAATATTGAAAATTCCCGAAATATCTATTCCAAATTTTTTTTTTTACCATTTGAGAATTGAATTTAACTATCCAAATCTCTTGGTCCCATCATGTTACCCAAAATTCTCGTCCCATTGGGAAAAGTTTGGATAGTAGTTTTCATTATCGGTCCAAATTTAAACATTTGAAATCAAGAAATGAGAAATCATTCTTATTTTTACTAGCTCATAAGATCTTGATTTTTTTTTTTAAAGAGTTCGCTGTGAAAATAGTAAAGTCCTCACTTTTCTCTCAAAACGACGAAGTTTTGAGAACCAGCGTTCTTCTGTATCTTTGAGATCTTCCTCAGAATATTGGCGAAGGCATTCTTGTCCTGTAAAAGGACACCGTTATAACAATCGATTGATTTGTCCAGAATAAGCTCACATAAAACCCATATGGTCACTTCAAGAAGGAATGAGAATAAATATTACCTCTTTGGTCTTAAGTCTTGCCTTAAATCTGGAAACAAGGTCCTGTGTAGTGACTTGCTTCTTCTCCATCAGAACAGCGCGAATTTCGTCTTCAGTCACAGGCCCAGTCGCAGCTGAGGATGATGCTGCAGGAGCTGAAGCTGGTTCAGCTTTCACAGCTTTTGTTGGTGTGTTGGATTTGGAAACTGTGTTTGCTCTCTCTTCTTTCACCGAAGATTTCGGATCCTGCTTACGAAGATTACAAAAACCTGCTCGTTAGAAATCAAATGACAACACAAGGGATAAACTCTTTTTCAGACATAGCAACCAAGAATCTTACATTTTCAGTCTTCACTTTCTTTTGAACAGAGCTGCTAGGCTTTTTAGAATCGCCGTCGTTTAGTTTTCTCTTTCCCTTAGATGGTTTTGCAGGAGGTGTTCCACGAGAAGGTCCAGATGGTGTAGGTTTTGCAGGTGCATTTTCAACAGGTTCTTCTTTCGCCACCTCCTTCTGTTTAGAATTCGTAACTGGACCAAAGTTTGTCTCCTCCTCCTAAGAAATGACATTCAGAATGATTTGCGTGTATCCAAACCAGTTCATATGAGTGTGCTTGAAAATTGAATTTTTTTTGTTTAGAAGTAAAATATGTCGAAAATTGAAGAGGGCTTACATCATCAGAATCGTCATCATCGTCTTCGTCAGATTCATTCAAACCATTAGCCTTACCAAGCAGTTTCTTTAACTCTTTACCAGATTTGCTCAACCCTCCCTCCTCTTCTTCATTTTCTTCATCATCTTCATCCTGCAAGAGAAGTCAAAAGAAAGTTACGACCTCATAGATAGTAAAGACTCAACAATCCAGTGTTTAGTAATCATTGAAACTTGGATAACCTATAAATGGGATTACCAAAAGAAATTTTATATTTAGTTTCACAGAAACTTGTACATTGCAAGTGAACTACTATAGTAAATAATACAGACCTGCTTTATTTCTGGAGGAGCAGGAATTTCAGGAGCCAGAAGATCTTCACGTTCCTCAGGATCATTACCGACTGCTTCGTCATCATCGGTGAAAATTTCCTCATGCTCCCAGTCATCCCCTGAATAAATCAAAATTTAAAGACATTTCAGCAGTTTTGTTAAAACAACGAAGAACAATCCTGTCCATCCATATATCAATTACAACTCACCCTTCTCAATGTCATCATCATCCATGTCAAGATCACCACCCCTTGGACCTTCTTCATCATCATCATTACTCTTTTTATTAAGTCCAAGTCTACTTTTCCGCGATGCCTCTTCCTCTTCATCTTCCTCCCCTCTGTCAGAGACATTTCCTTCATCTTCATCACCACCTGATGACTTTTTACGACCCCTACCACCACCTCCGCTGCTTCCACCACTCTCTTTGTCATTATCCACTTCCCCAAACAACGCTGGACCATTATTCGCAGCTTTCATCATCCACCTTTGATACCCATCAGCAGTTTTTCTCCGATTCTTCATCTTCTCTTCCGCTTCTTCCAAAGTAAGTTGCTTATACTGTGCAACCTTGTTGAAGTTATACCTAACACAATAAAAAAAAAAAAAAAAAAAATCAGAAGTTAGATAATAACAAAACTGATCCATCCAAAGATTTTACCGCATAATTTAAACATATAAATAGAAGAAGCAACGGTAATTTGATTCTCCATACCAAGAACCAGCAGGAATCGCGACAAACTCTTTGTTCTGCATCACTAAGAGATAGTAAGTAGCAGACTGAGAGCCTTCAAGATGTCCTTGGTACTGAAACTGTCCAGTTTCATCTTCCAAGATCCAAGGTTTGTTCTTTAACTTCTCCTACAAAAAAAGTTAGAATCCACACAAAACTAATAAGCATTGTAAATACCTCCAAAATGATTGGTATGAACCAACAAAAAACACAAATTTACCCGTTGTGCATCAGTAAACTGACGACCTTGAGGTATATCTTTACGAAGAGACCATTTATTCTCAGAACCTTTCTTGAAATTAGGAAGACCAGTCACAAATCTACCAATGAAGTAGTTCTTATCCGTCGGTGCCGCAGCACGAACGTTATACTCCTAAAAAATTTCACCCAAACAACAATTCATCAAATTTTTCTTCAGAAACTACGAAATTGTTTGAAATTGGAGTGAAAGAGATACACAAATCTAACCCGAATCAACCGCGTAAGGACGGTTCCACAATCGAGACACTTAGCTTTATTCTCAGCCATGGTTCTACCACACTTCAAACACAACGTCATGTGTCTACAAGAGCTTCCATACAAATCGGATTGTGATCCACATCCCATACAAGCCGGTTTCAATTGCAAACAGTTCGACATACTGTTCCGATCCAAGGTATCGTCTTCTTTCTGAAACCGTAAGAAGATGAACGAATTTAGGGTTTCACGATTTTCAAAATCCAATTACGAAGATGATCACAGAAGCAATCGAAGCTATAATCAACGATTGTGTGGTGAAATCTAGGGTTTTTTCTTACCTTTCGGATTTGAGATTGCAATTCAGAATTTTTGTTTGCGAATGAATGCTAACGTTTTGTTCTTCGGTCGTGAAATTTGGGGTCTCTCTTCTGGAAAGGAGGTTATATGCTGCTTATATGTTAAAAGTCTGATTTGCCCTATTACAAAGATGTTCATAAGATTACATAATTAGATTTATTTCTTTATTTTTGGGTCTCAACTTTATAACATTCATTAAACTTCTTTTTTTTTTTTGCAACATTCATTAAACCATATCCAAAGTTACACCATATAAAGTAGTTTCAGACTCAATTAGTATAATCAATTTACATCCCATTATTTGAAATATTCATTTTTAAAAAAATATTAAAACATGGACCCATTAAATTTTGAAACAATCATATTTGTTGTAAAATCATTATATATTTAATAAAACACACCAAACTAAGTAAAAGAGGATATCTGTATCCTTTTGATGATGGATTCTTCCTTGCAAGTCACCAAAGTTCCAAACCAATAACCAAAATTAAGAAACTCAATTTAAAATGATTGTTGTTGTTCAAAAATGCATTTGCACCAACACAAATATCTCAAATAAAAAGCATTACAATCTTCAAAATGGATAGGATTCGTTCACAAGTTTTTTTTTGTTTTTTCTTAAAGTTGCACAAACTAACTTCAGTCAAAGCCTCTTCATAAATGGAGAGACCCATCATTCATTCATTCATTACCACCAAAAATCTAGATCAGGAGCTTCTCAATGGCATCCTTAAGGTGCTGAATCTGAGATTTCAACTGACTAGCCTCGTTCGATGTAACCGAACAAGCGATCACCGGTCTTGTTACACCACATGCCCTTCCAAGGGCTTGTTTCGATGGCACAAACACATACGGCACATTCTGCAACAATTCAAAGACAAAGAGAGAGAACAAATAGTAAGTAACAGACTCAGAAAGTTGCTTGTGAAATAGATTTGCTGAAAACAAATAATTTGCCCAATTCAACTAGACAAAAACACCTTGAAAAGGGAAACATCAACTAAACATTCATGAATCAACAGAGTTTGATACCAAGAAACTAAGGCACTGATATTGCATATCTTAAGACCAAGAATCAGTGACTAAACTAATTACATAAGCTATGTTAATACAGAACAAATGAGTCCTTTTTTCAACTAAACATTCATCAATCAACAGAGTCCGATACCCAGAAACTAAAGTCCTGATATTCCATATCCTAATCTTGAATTGAATTAGTCTCCTTCATTCAAAAACTAAGATCTACACAATCATCAATCAACTAAGTGATTGCTACATTAGAACATCTTTAAGACAGAACATTAGAATTACAATCTCAAAACATTAGATGGTTATAAAAGCTAAGTTAAGACAGAACATTAGACTTACAATCTTAAAAAATTAAAGTCAAATAGCCAAAAAGATCTATCCTTTTAGATATAAAAGTCTAACATAATCAGAATCTTTCCCATGAGATAACAAGTGAAACCAGTACCAAACTTGCAAGAGATATTGACCTTGTTGACACATCTCCAGAGCCATAGAAACTACTAATCAAGATTCATAAGAGAAAGATAGGATAAGAAGAAATTGAATACCTTATCTTCAGCAAGAAGAGGAAGATGAAGAAGAATCTCAAGAGGCTCTGCATCAGCAGCCATAACAACGAACTCAGAGATCCCACGGTTCAATGTCTTAGTAGCTTCATTAGCTCCTTTCTTTAGCTGTTTGTAATTCGTCGCTTGTTGAACAAGATCAAGAATCGTTATCGCTAACTGAGAATCAGCTAACGGATACGCCTTAGGGTTCACTCCTTCTACCGTCATCTTCTTCTTCGAGTTCTTTAAGTTCTCTCAGAGGAAGCCGATAGCGAAGAATAAGAAGACGCTAGGGTTTTAGTTTTGGGTTTAATAGACCACGAATTAGGGTTTTAAAAAGGGAACACATCAAAGCCTCTCTTTGAGTCAGAAGGTTTCAGATTTTTTTTCAAATAAAAATAAATAAAGATATTTCCACTAATTTATCAGATTCTCAGAGAGTCTCTCAGATCGTGTTTTGCTTCACCAGAGAAGATCGAAGAAGAAGAAGAAGACGAGAGAGAGATAATTAGGGCTTAGAATGGCGGAGGATCTAGTTCTGGATACGGCGATCAGAGATTGGGTTTTGATTCCACTCTCTGTTGTGATGGTTCTCATCGGTATTTTGAGATACTTTGTCTCTAAGCTTATGCGATCTTCTCCAACACCTGATGCTAAGATGGTTAAAGAAGGGTGAGTCTTCTTCATCGTTATCTGGATTGTGATCTCTATGCGGAGAATTGAAGTATGTATCTGAGTTTTTGTTAGCTGATTCGATTTGATTTGTTTTTCTAGGCAAGTTGTTATTAGAGCTCGGAATCTTAAAGTTGGTGCTAATTTTATCCCGCCGAGATCATTCCGTACTCGGAGATTCTACTTTAGCAATGAGGTAATGAATGGTTTTTCTAAGATTTGACATTTGGTCTTGTCATGGTTTCTGATTTTGATTTGACATTTAGTGATTTGCTTTGTTAATCGAAGTTTTTTTAAAAGGATTGAAACATTTCAATGTGTATAGCGTTATGGGATTGTGTTAATCTGAAGCAATTTTCAACCATGTAAAATGGTGATAATTTGTGTAGACTTTCGTCTTTCTTTGATTGTCTCTTTGTTCTATAGTGTCTGATGAGTGTATTGATGGATATGGAATGTGAGAAAGCTATGTGTTTTGGTTGCTGTAGGAGAATGGTTTGCTACATGTTCCCAAGGGAGAAGCTCAAAATCCACAAGCTGCCATGTTTTCTGATCCTAACATGGCCATGGATATGATGAAGAAAAATCTTTCAATGATTATTCCTCAGGTAGATTGAATTTGAAAATTTTCATCTATGTCTTTGTGATATTAGTTTTGTCGGAAACTGATATAACTTACTCTTTTGCAGACACTCACTTTTGCATGGGTCAACTTCTTCTTCTCTGGATTTGTTGCAGGTTTATTTCTTAAACAAACTTTTTTGCAATTATTTTACTTTGTCGCTTGATAAACGCTAATCATGAATTTGATTTATACCTGGCTGTTATGTAACTTACGTTGCTGTTATTTGAGCACGAGTTAATAGTCTCCTTGAATCTCTAGTCTCTGCAAGTTTGATCATTTCCAGCGCATCTGAGTATTCTTCGTTTATCTTGCAGCGAAGATACCATTTCCACTAACTCAGAGGTTCAGATCAATGTTACAGAATGGCATTGACTTGAGCACTGTCGATGTTAGCTACGTGAGTAGTCGTTCCTGGTAAGTACCCAAGTTACACAAAGGACTTTGTGTGGTCCTCTTCAGATTTTCGATATTGCTTCTGGATATTGCCCTTTCTCTTGTTCTTACGAGTTTTTCTGTCACTTTTCAGGTACTTCTTGAACTTGTTTGGATTAAGAGGCTTGTTCAGTCTCATTCTCGGAGATGAAAATGGTTAGTTGTCGCATACTAATTTGCTCCACATTCCTCAAAAGCTAAAATGTGGTCATAATGGTTTACGTTTGCTTTGTATGCAGCGATTGATGACACACAACGTATGATGCAAATGGGTGGGTTTGGATTTGATGCATCAAAGGTAATCAAAATATATATGAATCTGACTGCTAAGTGTTGTTCAATTTTTTTTAGTTTCGATCTGTGACCTTACCTGATTCGGTATCATTGCATTACAAATTTGATCAGAGCCTGGGTGCAGAGAAGGATGGTCTTGACATAATTCAGCACGAATGGGCTCTACCTCGATTTGAGCAACGCGCAGAATCTGTATTAAGAAAACTCGTGAAGTAGAGAGAAACACGATAAGATTTCCAGACACATCTGGTTTACTTCAAACTCTGTAGAAACTTTTACTTTTACTTGAAACTTGAAACCGAGTCTTAACAGTGATTTCTTGTGTTTCAGCTGGTAGATTCTGCTCTGTTTCTTTTTGCTTCGTTTCTCATTTGTTGTAACACCTCTCTATGAAAAATTTCTCCATATGGTACGACGATTTATTTCCGGTTAGTTTGGTACGACGATTAGGTTTACTGTGCATTACGAGAATGTAATGGCTTCGGTTTAGTTTGGTAAGGTTTGGAGATATTTTGGTATTCTAGTATGATCAGTGGTCTAGAGGCCTGAGATATTTAACAGAACCGAGAGAACCAAATGGGACCGAACCGAGATTTTCAGATCGGTTCGTCCGATCGGCTATTTGGGTTAAATACGTAATGGGTGGGAATTATCCAATTTAAGTTCTTTTTAATTGTATGTTTATAAGTATGGGCTGAGACTCAGGGATTAGTGTGACGGTTTACTTTTTTCACAGAAAATTGTTTAATTGATTTTTGTATGCGTCTTAGTAAAACCCTAAACCCCATATCTTCGGCGAATCTAACTGCTAATGTCGTCTCCGCTAACATCTCCGGCCACCACGAACGGCGAAGAGCCATTATATAAGAAGCAGAAGAAGAATCCGTCACAGATTCCTTCACTTCCTGATGAATTGTTAGTGAGCTGCTTAGCCCGCGTTTCGAGATTGCACTACGCGACGCTCTCCTTAGTTTCTAAGAGCTTCCGATCACTTATTGCTTCACCGGAGCTTTACAAGACTAGGTCACTCTTCGGTCGAACAGAGAGTTGTCTCTATGTCTGCTTACGTTTCCATCCTGAACGTAATCAACGTTGGTTCACTCTCTCCCTAAAACCTAATAATCGAACCGTAGCCAATAATAACAAGTCAAGTTGCAACCTTTTGGTCCCAATCCCAACTTCACATAATCCTCATATGTTGCGAACTCTTCGAGTCTCGTAGCGGTTGGTTCTAATATTTACAATTTTGGCGGATCCTATCATCCATCTAGGGTATCAATCCTAGACTGCCAGACTCACACTTGGCATGAGGCTCCAAGCATGCAGGTGAAGCAGTATTATCCACATGCCAATGTTGTTGATGGAAAGATATATGTAGCAGGGAGCTGCGTAAAACCTAAATCATCAAATTGGATGGAAGTTTTTGATCCAAAAACTCAAACTTGGGAGCTTGTGTTGGCCACTCTCGGAAAGAGATTCACACATTGTATAAACAAGAGCGCAGTGATTGAAGGAGCAATCTACATGTTTGTGGATGATATAGGTGTGGTTTACAAGCCACGAGAAGGTAAATGGGCAGAGATAAGATCACTGGAGGATTTACAATATTTAGGGTTTTGTTATTGCGTGATAGGTAACGTGCTATATTGTTATTATTGGCGTAATGGAATCATATGGTATGACTTTAAGATAAGAAAATGGATGAATATGAAGGGTTTGGAAGGTCTGCCTCAGTTTCCCAATTACGGTTGTGTTGTTAGATTAGTGGAATATGGTGGAAAGATGGTGATTTTGTGGAACAAGTATGGTTCCGGTTGCAACAATAATAAGATGATTTGGTGTGCAGTAATTTCACTTGAAAGGCGCAACAGTAAAGAGATTTGGGGGAAGGTCGAGTGGGTTGATGCGGTGCTTACAGTCCCTGTGTCTTGTGAAACTGTGTGTGCTCTTTCTGCTACTGTTTGATGAATTGAATCGAACATAGTGAATCTCGAGTGTTGAAGGTGGAAGAACTTTAGTTAAGCTTGCTTCGGGCGGATAATGTAGAAGATCAGCTTTTTTTGCCACTTGGCGAATATTGTAGAGGACTTTGGCATTGGCGTTAGTGTACATGCATCCCAAAATAGTCGAAAGATGTTTGAAAGCCTACTTGAAAGTCTTACAAGGAACATCAACAAAGAAACAATAATGGTGGTTTTGGTTACCTCTGTATTATTATTATGCGTCTCCTGCCTCATCATCATGTAACCATGTTTTCGATACTAAAACTAACTCTTAGTTCTCTTTTGAAACAAAAGTATCAAAATTAAACTAGCGAAAGCAAGAAAATATTCGAATGATTCGTTTGTAGTATAAAGATTTTTTTGAATATCAAAACATGGGAACTTGAAAGTAATGGTACAAGGAATAAAGTGTTAATCACGTGAGAGAATTAAACTTCTATACATATGAAATAGATGAAAATGAAAGCATTATTATAATGACAGATGATTGTCATCTATACATATATATGTCCAAGTGAACTATGCCAAAAAGTGAACCAACTTATCAACAGAATTTTATTTATTGTTTGGACATTTTTTTTTTTTTTGTGTTAAGACAAGGGTTCAGAGGAGGTCATTGTTGTTTAGAATCTCAAAATATAGGTTTTGATTGGTGCACAAAAATAAAGCACTACAAGTGGTACAACTTTTATTTTTACCAATCACAAAAACTTTATCAAAAGCGTTACTAAAAGTTTTACTCTCAGCTTTTTTGTATAGATTTCTCGTACAGGTCTTTTATACAGTTTTGCACTATTCCGGTAAAGCTTACAGCTCCAGCTATCAGCTAAAAATTTGTACAGCTATTTGTTACCAATCAGTTCCATAACATTTTCACATAATTATCATTTAAAGTAGGTAAAAAATTTATTAAAAAAAAAAAAAAAAAAGTTAGATCAATACTACAAAACATAAAAGATTTTGGTCCATTGACAAAAACATTATTAAGATTTTACAAGTAAATTGACAAATTTGAGAATTCTTTAGTCCTCTAAAATTGGCTAGTTGTGGTTGAAAGATGACTGGTTTTGTGGCTATAAGGTGAAAACGATTTGATGTTCTTTTCGGTTGGTTTATATCTGTCAAGAAATAAGAACATAAAAACATGTTTCAGCAGAGAGATGACACAAGAGTTTTTTCTTGTTGAATATTATCATGTATAGAAGAACTAGCAAAGAATAATTAAGCATCAATCCTTTGAAGTAATTAATTCGATGTCCTTTCTTGCATCACAACAAACACGCACAGACATTTAACAACTTTGATAAGAGATATACTCGAGATTTGTTTCGTAATTAGCTTCAAGATTAACAATAACGAAAGGACTATGAACAATAATTAGCTGGAAATTTGTGATACTTCTTTGTCACAAAAGTAAGAAAGGAGATTTTCTTTTTCTTTAATAGCATAAGTTTCTAATTATGGGCTTAAGCCCAAGACTGGGATTAATCTTTAGGGTTTCGTTTTTCTATGTACTAATTATAATCTCCAAATTTCGGTGAATCTAACTGCTAATGTCGTCTCCACCAACATCTCCGGCCACCACAAACGGCGAAGAGCCATTGGTTAAGAAGCAGAAAAAGAATCCGTCACAGATTCCTTTACTTCCTGATGATGTGTTAGTGAGCTGCTTAGCCCGCGTTTCGAGATTGCACTACGGGACGCTCTCCTTAGTTTCTAAGAGCTTTCGATCACTCATTGCTTCACCGGAGCTTTACAAGACTAGGTCACTCTTAGGTCGTACAGAGAGTTGTCTCTATGTCTGCTTACGTTTCCCTCCTGAACGTAACCAACGTTGGTTCACTCTCTCCCTAAAACCTAATAATCGAACCGTAGCCAATAATAACAAGTCAAGTTGCAACCTTTTGGTTCCAGTCCCAACTTCAAATTATCCTCATGCGCAAGATTTAGGTCTCGTAGCGGTTGGTTCTAATATTTACAACTTTGGCGGATCCGGTCCATCTAGCGTATCAATCCTAGACTGCCAGACTCACACTTGGCATGAGGCTCCAAGCATGCGGGTGAAGCAGTATTATCCACATGCCAATGTTGTTGATGGAAAGATATATGTAGCAGGAAGGTGCATAGACCTTGAATCATCAAATTGGATGGAAGTTTTTGATCCAAAAACTCAAACTTGGGAGCCTTTATTGTTGGCCCCTCTCGAAAGGAGGAGATGCACATATAGTATAAGCAAGAGCGTAGTGATTGAAGGAGGAATCTACATGATTGGGGGTGATATAGGTGTGGTTTACAAGCCACGAGAAGGTAAATGGGAAGAGATAAGATCGCTAGAGGAGTTAGGATGTCTAGGGGTTTCTTATTGCGTGATAGGTAACGTGCTATATTGTTATGGAAGTCGTAATGGAATCATATGGTATGACTTTAAGATAAGAAAATGGATGAATATCAAGGGTTTGGAAGATCTGCCTAAGTTAGTCAATTGTGATTGTGTTGTTAGATCGGTGGAATATGGTGGAAAGATAGCGATTTTGTGGAACAAGTATTTACGTTCCGGTTCCGGTTACAACAATAAGATGATTTGGTGTGCGGTAATTTCACTTGAAAGGCGCAACAGTAAAGAGATTTGGGGGAAGGTCGAGTGGGTTGATGAGGTGCTTACAGTCCCTGTGTCTTGTGAAACTGTGTTTGCTCTTTCTGCTACTGTTTGATGAATCGAACCGAACGTACGTAGTGAATCTTGAGTGTTGAAGCTGGAAGAATTTTAGTTAAGCTTGCTTCGGGCGGATAATGTAGAAGATCAGCCTTTTTTGCTACTTGGCGGATATTGTAGAGGACTATGGCATTGGCGTTAATGTAGTACATGCATCCCAAAATAGTCGAAAGATTTTTGAAAGCCTACTTGAAAGTCTTACAAGGATCATCAACAAAGAATGGAAAACTCTGTTTTAAAGAAACAATGGTGGTTTTGGTTTTGCAACAAAAGCATTACCTCTGTATTATGCGACTCCTGCCTCATTATCATGTTTGAGTTCTCTTCACATTCGAAGGAAGATATTCTCTATTAAAGAGAGTTTGATCATGTAGCAAACAAAACTGATTTCTTCACTTATTTTACAAAGGCTTTGCTTGCTTGCGTCTTAAAAACTTATATAAACAAATGACAATCTAACCTTAAATGTTATTCTGTATCAGACAGATTTTATACTTTTCTTATTCGATGTAGTCCCATTTGTATTGCCAATCAGAATTTTAATTTTATTAGCTTTTTTGTTTATGATTCACTCATGCACTCAATAGGGTTTAAATTTTGATCATAACACAATAAGGGCATTAGTACAAACTATTTACAAGCTCTGGTCACATGTAACCATGTTTTCGATACTAAAACTCACTCTTAGTTCTCTTGAAACAAAAGTATAAAAAAACTAGCTAAAGGAAGAAAAGAATCGAATGATTCGTTTGTAGTATAAAGATTTGTCTGAATATCAAAACATGGGAACTTGAAAGTAATGGTCCAAAAAACTACAAGGAATAAAGAGTTCATAAAGAAGTTACGTGAGAGAATTAAACTTCTATACATATGAAAAAGATGAAAATGAAAGCATTATAAATTTATAATGACAGATGATTGTCATCTATACATATGTCCAAGTGAACCAACTCACTAACAATTTTTTTTTTTGTTATTTCACTAAAAAGGAGAGTGTTCACAGGAGGACATTGTTGTTTAGAAATTCAAAATATAACATTTTCACATAATCATCATTTGAAATAGGTAAAAAGTTATGAAATACTACAAAACATATTAAAAAAAAAATGGTCCATTGACAAAAACATTATTAAGCTTTTACACTTCATCATAAGGTAGTTTACTTTACACACTTGTAATTTGTGATGTTCTTCTTACCTGTAAATATGACACATCAAGCATCCTCAATATGCTTCAACAATTTTTATTTTATTTGTATGTTCTTACTTTTTGCAGATCAACTCTATAATAAATACCATCCTTCTCTTCTTCGCTAAACTCACTCATAACTATTCCTCCTTTTCTAAACTCAGCAATTTTTTCCTTTGTCCATATTATTCTTCTTCAGAGTCTCCAAATGGCTAGTGTTGAGGTAAATCCGACATATGTGACATATGTAAAACTAATTAAACTTACCGTATTTTCAGACAACAAAACATGTGTACTAGTGTAATACTATCACGGTATCACCATGTGATAGTCTTCAGTTTTTTTTCGAAAGCTCAGTTTTTGTAGATTTTGTTAGTAGTAGTCCATCACCATTAGCTTTGATCTATAAATCCTCTATAAAGGCTGATTCATGACGTAAAGCTAGATCGATTTTTTACTGCAGGTTGAGAAGATAGTATCAAACACAGAAGAGAAGACATCAACCGAGACACCTAAGGAAATCGTTTATGCAGATGATTCAGCCACCGCGGTTGAAGTTGAAATCAAAGGAGAAGAAGTACTAAAGGTAGAGAATGAAACTGAAGAAACCGAGATAGCTCCGGTTAAAGAGGAGAAACCAGTTGAAATTCCGGCAGCTATGGAGGAGAAAGATGCTAAACCTATATAAGGTGATTTGGAATGATTATTTTAATATAATCATTGAAGTGGTCTATGAGACCATTGAGGTGGTCTTAAGAGAGTTTGGTCAATAATAAGAGAGCTTTATATCGTTCTTGTAATCTGATTTCATTTAACACAGAAAAATGTCCTCTTAACACAAATTATTAACACAAACACAAAAGAACCAAACTACAAACGCAGACATCGATTTGGCGATTTGCGAATCGAAGTTAATCACCCTAATGTTAGTCTTACTGTATTTACATGATTCGATCAATCCAACGCACAAAAATGAATAACGAAATGCCAAAACGATACCTTTTTTTTTTTTTACTTATCTTATCCTCCTCGGCATAAGTTTATAGTTTAATAATTTATCCATAAGTTAAAAACAGAAGTTAAGAAAGGTTTCACCTTTCTCTTTCGGTCATAAACAGAGGCTTGACCATAACGCTAAATCTATACACCAAAAGCACCAATCTACGAACCCTAAAGATCAGATTGATATAGATAGATAGAGAGAGGGAGAGAGAGATAGAGATTACTTTGATAATTATTTCACCATTTACCGAAACTGGAGCTGACATGATCTTGAGCGATGAGTCGGAGGCGTTGCTCCATGAGAGTCATCGTCGGGTATCTCGGTATACAGAGACGGTAAAAGCAAGTATGCGACAATGGAAGACGATCATTAGCTTCATATAATCTGTAGATATATAGCTTTGATGATAATCCTCTAAACCCTTCCACCGGTACAAACTTATTCGATGTCCAAAAGAACAGTATACTCCTCTGTTCTTCCTCTGTCATTTTCTTCAGAATCTACAAAATCCGATAAAGACATTTAAAAACTCGGTTTAAAAGTTTAAATTCGAACAAAGAATTTGTGTTTTTTACTTATTACCTTCCAGAACCAGTCTATTTGGCGATCGGTCTCTTTGAATCCGTTGTATTCTGTGTGTGCTTTCCAATCATCTATGCTTATCGGGTTTTCTCCTCCACGAAGCATTCCGTCGAGATCCTCTAGGTATAATCTCTTGAAAAAGGATCTGGGCTGTATAGAATCTGAAAGCATATCAGTGAAACCTCGGGAAAATTGTTTTACTTGCTCAAAGATTGGTGTTGCAAATCGGCGTTCAATGAGGAGGTCGACATATTGTTTCCTGTTCTCGCTGTTGACAGCCTTGAATTTCCCGCCTGGACATAGCTCTATTGTATCCCTCTTTCCCAGCTCCTCGGTTTCCAACACGAATGTTAGACCAAGGCCAGCATTTGAATCGAAAAACACTGGATCCATTTCTAGAATCTGCTTGCAGCTATTGTACATAATTCGATCGGTGTCCTTAATATCTTCCAAAGAAATTTTCAGCCCGGCCAATTGTAAGAAGAAAACACGATCGAACAGCACACCCACTTGAACTTTGTGCATCAAAGCTAAGGCAATCACACGACCCGTGAACTCGAAGAAATCAGGATGCAATGGATCCACCTTGGATGCTGAATGTAAGACAAAAATCTAATATTACTGGATCAAGATATGAGCATCACAGGAAATATCTATTTAGAGCAAAGAGTGACATCACAAAAGCTTGTTTCCAAGGCTACATAGCTTCCAAATAATTTCAACTCACTGATGCTTCCCTTCAGATAATTAAGCAGTAAAGAAGTACCATGATCAAGCGTTTATGTAAGAATATAAGATTCCGATAAGTTCATTAGTAACCCCTTCAGCATATAGATCCTAAGATGACAGCACAATAATCTTTTATATTTAAAGTGTATACTTGTGCATGTTTACTTCACATAACCACCAAACAAATTACGATGCGCGGCAGGAACAATAGACTATGCAATACTGACAGACTAAATATGTTCAGAGGATTCTAAGAAGGAATGATTATCAGCGAACGGGATACCAGACAGTAAGAAACTATAGGAATGGCTAAGCAAGGTCCAAATTCACTTGTATCTAGGCTAGTGATGTCATGAGAAAGACAACATGAGGCACAAAGCTTACCTGGGTTTGGAGAGAATCTTCTAAAATCATCAGCAGATCGAAGAAAGAGGGTATTTTTTGGATTGAATATCTCCTGACATACCAGATAGAACCATTCTCGTAGAACACCAGGACCTGTAGCTTCCTCATTCTTGAATTCCATGAACAGTCCACCATGAAGTGCTTCAGGGCTTGCGCCCACTATGTACTCAAACGATTCTGCTAGCAAATTGGACCGATCAATGAGCATTTCGTGCATCTCCTCAAAGTCTTCTTTCACGTCAGGAAACAACAGCATTGCCAAATGCCTCCTAGCTTCAAAGTTGGTAGCTTCCTTATACTCAAAGACCCATTGGTGGTCATCTCCTCTTTTAGCAAATTTCACAAGGAGGAAGCAGAATGAAACCTTATTTTTATTTAACATAACAGTTAGCTGTCCCTTAGCACCTTGATAGATGTTAGACATTGAATTGATAATCTTCAGAATGGATAGATATTGAGACCACGATGAAGATACAGTTTCACTGTTTCCACCTTCTTTGTCAGACTCAACCCTACACATACAAAGGTCCATTGTCGTCAACAAGCTTCCAAATAACTGATGAAGATGTCTGATCTCCGCCTCCAATGGAGTATTTCGCCGAGGTAAAACATTGGGAATCGAGTCGGCATCTTTGAATTCAATGGCCTTCCTCAACTGTTGCCAAAAGGAAGAAAATTTATGAAAGTCACAGAAACTTGGACCAGAATTCTGAACTAACTCATTCACCAAAAGACCAGTTAACTCGGTAAAGAAGGGGAAAATCTCCACCCCGAAAGTCGAATATCCATCATTGAATACACCACGAGGGTTATCAAACGTCTCCAGCATTGATCCCAAGGTGTTCCGGCAAGTAACATATAGCTTCTGATCAGGGCAAACTTTCCTAAGAATTTTACAAAACTCTAACACTATCGGTAAACAATAGTTCTGCTGATTCTTCGGCAAGGCTACGCAGCTACTCAAAAACAGCTTAACAGAACTCTTAGCACAAGACTTATTCCTCTCTAAAGAAGAAGCATATAGCATCACTAACGCAGCAGGAACCGAAGAATTCGAGAAAATCTTCAAATACTTGGCAATCGATTCATCGTTCTCCACAGGAATCATAGCGAAGAAAGTAACAATCTTCTCATTTATATTGGATTGAAGATTCTCACCTTTATACATTCTCGAAATTGTGTACATAATATCATCAATCGTTTGCCAAGCTACAGGATGCTCTGTGCTCTGCATCCTCCCTACGAGCTGAAGCGAAGCGTCTTGCTCGATCGAGTAGTAAGCAAGCGAGTGTTCATACTGTAACTGCTTACCTTTGTAGATAACTCGTTGCTCACTCACCGGAATCTTCGTTTTCCACTCGATTCTCTCATGAAGCTTCTCAACAGTATCGTTTTTATCAGCGTGGATCACAATCGTTTTACCTCCAGACATCATCCTCACAAAGATTTGTAACCGAGTCGACTCAGGACGATTCGACGAAGAACACTCGCCGGAAGAAGATAGAGACCGATTAAATCCGGAATTCTCACCGGATCTCCACGAAATCAAAGTCTGTTGAGCCGACGCAGCCATATGATCGGCGTCAATTTCGTGTTTCTTCATTTTCTGGAGAAAATCAACAACGCCGACGTAATCAGGAGACGACGAAGCGTCGTAATCGTCTAGTTTCCGTTTATGATCGGTTCCAGCCACGGCGGAGTAAGATCGGTTAGAGTTATTGGTTGAATCGGCGGCTGATGAACGGCTTAGAGTCATCGAGCGACGAGAATCTCTCTCTCTATCTCTATCGGTTCTGGTTTTTCGCCAAAACCTTATCCAAATCGATTTCGCCGGAAAATTAACCGTAACGGAGTACAGAGGTGAGGAGGAGGAGGAGGAAGATGAAGAGATTGGAGAGGAGAAGAAGATCGGAGGTTTCGTCTGGGTTTAACACAGCTTATTCTCTCTCTACGTTAAACAGACGTTTAACGCTTTCACACTATTTTTTTTTTAATTTTATTAATTGTGATTAGATTATGAGTTTGTATAAAAATATTTTAAAAATATCTCTGAATTAAGTAGTCAATGACTAAATGTCATTTTTGGTTAAATCCTTTCCTCGTTTAATCCAATTAAGAAACAAAAGAAGGACTTTTTTTACTTTTTCTTTGAAACTTTGGGTTAATCGCCCAGTCAAATCTTTTGATTAATTGTTTTTGGGAGATTATGAAATTCATTACCTATTCAATTTTATTTTTCTTTCTAAAATATGTCATACTTTTTATAGAAAAAGACAGAAAGTTATGTGTGTTTTTGTGAAGATTTCTTATCTTTTTATAAAAAAATATATTTCTAACAATTTAGGAAAGGTTTTGTGTTTGTAGTTTATCACTTGCTTACTCTTTTTTTTATTGGTCTTAATGATAGACCCAATAATATAAATTGTTCTCTTTTGTATTCCTTAAAGAAAATAAATGACGGGACATATAATAAACGATTTTTGATGGATGTAACCAAAAGAGCGTTGACTGACTGGTTGAACGATTTTCTTCTCTTTATACAAGAGTCCAAATGTTTATTTTTCTCTCTAGGCCATTGTTAAACAGACGCTTTCACATTTATTTTTTAGTATATTTTAATTAATTGTGATTAGATATTGAATTTGTATGAAATTATTAAAAAATATATCTCTGAATTAAGTAATAAATGTCATTTATGGTTATAAGTTAAAATTGTTCCTCGTTTAATCTGATAAAAGAAAAAAAAATAGAGGACTTTTTAATTTTTTAAGCTTGGGTTAATCAGCGAATCAAACCTTTTGATTAAATTGTTTTTGGGAGATTCTAAAATTTTATTACCTATTATCTTATTTTCTAATTAAAAAGAGTATTTCTTACAATTTAGAAAAAAATTGTGTTTGTATTTGTTCTTTAGTATGTATAGTACCAATAATATGAACCATTTGGAATTCTCGTAGAAAATGAATGAGTTAGTTAGGGGAAAGAATATTTAGGCATAAAAACTAACTATAGAATTCAGCCGAATTTTGGTAGATTCAAGAATTCCGCATACATTATTTGTAAAAAAAATTCAAATTCAGCGAGATTCAGTTTCACACTCAGCTCACACATAAATAT